CGCCCGCCGCCTGGCATCCCCGCGGGCCCTCACCTTAATCTCCACCTGGTGCCGCTCCTCCGCCTCCTCCATCTCCCGGTCTTTGTTGCGCAGCTCAGCCTTCTTCTCCTCCAGCTGCCTGCGCGTGATCTCCCAGAAGGTGTGGATCTTGTCCCGCTCCAGCTGGAAGTAGTTCCGCTCCTCCCGCTCCCGGTCCAGCTCCTCCCGGATGCGCCCTACGTGCTCCTCCACCTGCGGCAGAGCGGCGTGAGGCTGGCCAGGGGCGGGGCGGCCGGGCGCCAGAGGGGGCCTCTTCCCCCGGAGGTGGGGGGCGGGCGCCATGCCAGGAGCTGAGTGCGGAGGAGCCGGACCACAGCCCCCCAGGATCGCCTCAAGGCAGCGCCAGGGGTCCCGGGCGAGCCGCGGGAGGGGCGTGCTGCCCCCCACGAGGGCCACCGCCGCCCCTCAGACAACGAGGACGAGAGCAGGAGGCTGTGGGCAGCCGGGAGGGCCCAGCGTCCCTGGGGTCAGCGTCGCCGCCGTCTGGGCCCCACCTGACTGTGGGCCAGGCCGAGAACACCCCGAGGTGGAAAGGGGAGTGATACGCCGCCCGGAAGGTGGGGATCGCGGCACAGAGCAGCCTCGGCCTCTGGGAAGCCGCCGCAGCGCCAGTCCCTGCCGGAGCCGGCCACGGGCGCCCCGCGGCTCGCCCCACGGCGCCATTTCCAGGCTCGACTGACCATCCGCCCTCTAGATTCTCTTAACCAGAAACGGCGCCCGAGGCCCAGGCGCCCCGGACGGCACCTGGGCTCAGGCTGGCCAGGGGCCGTGGGGACAGTCACAGCGCGGACTGCTGGGACAGGCCCCGGAGGCCAGCCGGGGCCCAGCGGAGGCGACAGGCCACGGAGGGAGGCCTTCAGCGCGGCCGCCGCTTGCGCGGGTAAACCCAGGCGCCACCGGCACGCCCGGCGGTCCTCAACGGGCCCGCGCCCCGTCAGTCTCGGGGTCCTGTTCTCAGAGGACGGGCGGCAGGGTGACGGCACACGGGTGGTTCGGGGATGGGGCCCACGGGGATGACGGCTGAGACGGGAAGGGCACAAAGCGGTGTAAAATAAACTGATATTGTTAGAGAACGAATGAGGCCTGGGGGGCGAGGCCGGTCACGGGGGCGGCACGTCTGGGGCGGCGACGAGGCTGGGGCCAGGCAGGGGCCAGGCAGGGCCAGGCAGGGCCCACGGCAGCGCGTCTGCTGAGCTCCGCACCGCACGCGGCGTCCTGCGGCCCCGGCAGCCTCCCGGCGGGCGAGCGCTTGCCGCGACCCCCTGTTGGTCACAGACCTCAGCGGGCGGCCCAGTGGCCTCGCCGCGTCCCGGGGCCTCGAGCACAGGGGTCACTGGTGGCTTTCACAGCAGATGTCCGGGCTTCCTGCCGGCCGGGGCCGCGACTGGACAGTCGGCCGCTCACCTGCTCCCTGCTCATGTCCTCGGGAGCGAGCCCGTCGACGACCGGGGTCCCTTTGGCTCTCCCCCTCTTCCCCTTCTTCTTGGGCGCCTTGGAGAGGAAGAGAGGGTGGTGAGGGGTGCTCTGGGCCGCCCCGCCGCTCGGGCCCGGGCCAGCGGCCTGCTGCAGGCGGCCTGGCTGGCGCACCCCGAGGCCCAGCCTCCGCATCTCCGGGGCGCCAGGACCGGGCTTTTCCCTTCCAGAGGGGGCGGATTCTGCCCCGAGAAGGCCGGAACCCCACGGAGGCCACCCCACAGGGCAGCTGGCCCGCCGACCCGCAGAGGCCCCAGCCGCTCAGGAGTGTGGGACAGCGGCTCCTCGCGGCCCAGCCAGGGGCAGGGAGCAGCTTCCTGGCCCCACACAGAGGCCGGCAGAGAGCCTGGTGGGGACTCGGGCACCGGACGCCAAGGTCCCTCCCGGGCCAGCCGGGCGGTCACCCAGGTCGGGGCACAGCGGTCACCGCAGCCTGTGTGACTGTGTCCGCACGTGGCTAGAGCCTCACGCTTACACAACAAAGGGGTGCGGAGTCTCAGATACATGAAGCCAAAATTGGGGGGGACGGTCCACATTCCTGAGGCGGTGCTAGGTGGCCCATTGCCAGCGGTCTCCCCGACGTCTCCCCCACGTCTCCACGCTGAACCCCCGCCCCAAAGTCCCCGCCCGCAGACAGCGAGCAGCTGGGGTCCGCCCGATGCGGGCTCGCGACTCCTGGGGCTCCCCCAACAGGGCCTTGCAGCTGATACC